ACCAAATCACCTTTCTTCCCCACTTTGATGCTCAGTTTAAACTTCAGCGGGTCATCTTAACCCTGTCTACACACCTAAATGCAGTGTGATTGTCTGATTAGACCTTTGTGTTAAGAAGCTGTTGAACAGGTTTATCTAATAAAGTGTCCAGTGAGTGTAAATAGATGGAAAATTAGCAGATATCAATTTAAACCAAGAAGAAAGACCTTGCTTGTTATATTTGTTCAACCGTCAAATCCCTCAAGTCTCTGCTTTCTTTACTAGTCCATTTCACTCAGAATCATGCAAGACGTTAACACTACGGGGAAAGTAAAGTAAAATGTTACCACTTGATTAATTAGCGCTATTACGAACTCTACAAGTCTAACTTTGCTGATCACATCCAGTGGAATCAAAGAAAAAGATTCACGTTTTAGGCATGAGACTCACTCACATTATTCTTCATAAGCAATTAATTAAGTTAGGCCTCTACATCCCCCCACCACCTCCCACTGGGCTTTGATTTGAACATAGTAAAGGCTTTAATCTAGTGACAGGATAATATCCTGCTGCTGCTCATCAGAACACTTTACACCCTTTCAGTGTTATGTAACATGTGGAAACAGGTATGTATCTTAAACCCTATGCTGGGGCTAACCCTCTCAGGCTCAAATTAACTCTTTTGTTGCTAATGCACAACCAAGTCCTGCAGTGGTACTTCTGAGTAAAACAAACTCATAAAACATGTATGTGGGGTAATCAGGTTGTTAGTTTTTAACTTTTGCAAATCGGCAACGCCTGCCTCGAGAGGGTTAAAACAGTGATGGCAGCAGGGAGAGAAAAAAAAAACATATGTTGGAGTTTTATGTTACTGGGCTATTCCAGTGCTCACAGCCTGCACTGATAACAAAACACCTGACACACCTCAGCATAAAACAATCTTTGGGCTTCGGTGCATGAAAGGCAAACATTCCTATTATCACCATTTTCTCACCACTCATATGACTCATTATTCCCTTAGGCAATCCTAAGAAAGACTGCGGGACATCTCCTGGCCTGTTTCGATACAAGCATGAATCCTCTGCTAAAAAAAAAGCTATTGTTTCTATAATCCACTGACTGGCCCCTTTTAATCTTCCATAATGACATGACTATAATACACGAAGAGCTGAAGAGCAACCCTCACTTCCAATGATAAAATCAGCATTTGGCTTTTTCCAGAGGAATCAGTCAAAGAGCTGTCCGTGGTGCTGAAACTGAGCAAACCTTGCAGCTAAGCCTTTGCAAACATCATTCACAGCGACTACCGAGCTCTCCTGATAAACTCAACATACTGATCTTGAACATCCTGGTTATTTTCTGTAATAGCTTTCTATGCCATCCTATGTGGATTTGTCCCATCAGCAGAGTCATCCGACTAACGATGAATTCAGTAAGAAAATTTCATTTTACTGAAAGATATCTGCAGCACACAGCTGCTGCTTTTCCATTTTAGTGACTGTTTTTTCTTTGACTTTCTAAATCACCTCATTCTGTTTTCCTCCAACGTTCAGTGTATGAACTGTTTTTCTTCCTTTAACATAAATGCTACGCTACACATGTAACAATACTGGATTTACCCCCACCCTCACGGTTACTGGGTACTAACAGGTCTCACTCAGCTGGCACTGCAAGTGTTTGGCAACGAAGACGAGTAGAGCTCTCTTGCTTTGTCTGAGATAATTAGACCTGTGGGAGCCTTAATTACTGACTGGGAAATGGCCACAAATGAGAAAGAGCGGATGAGCTCAAATTCATATGCATAATCATGTCTTGTTTACTGCCAGACAGGCAAGCCAACGATTCGGCCGGGTCAACATGGAGAGAAATAAATCTGCAGAAGGCCAGATAGCTCATTTATTGTCAATTAAAAGACAAACATTAAACAATTTTTTACTGCAGATCAAATACCCTCAGATGTCTGGCCTGGATGAAACTACAGTGGCATCTATCAGTTTCATCTGTTTCATCACTGTTTGTTGCCATAAAGAAATATCGAAATAAGTTTCCCATTTATTGGTTTAAAGAGGAAAAGTAAAAAGAAGCAGTTGCATCTACTTTAGTCGTGACAAGAAAATGGTTGGTGATGAAAGAAGCGATTAAAGAGAAATACTTCAAAGTACAAACGCATTGTGATGACTGTGCGTCTTGATTTGTGCTGGCACGGTGCGTTAGTGTGTTTGTTATGATCATGTTTTTAGTTTAACCTCACTGCCAAGTAGAACTTCAATTTAGAGATTCATGAGTTGGGGAATCAGAGTTTAAACTGAGAGGAGACACACTGAACTGTAAGAAGCACCGTGAGCAATAACAGTAAAGGACAGACGATAAAGACTAACAGGTACGTTTGATTACTGCTCCTGTGCTCTTGTGAGGTTAGGACAGAATATCTCAAATGGTTTTAACTGTCTTTGTCACACCTACCAGACACGTAGCATCACCAAATCAAAATCTAATCCACCAGTGAGGAAAACTGTCTCTCAAACCCTTTTTGAAAGCATTTCTTTAACTGTGTAGTTGTTAGTTTTAACCTAAATCCTTTAACAGCTACATAGAAAAAGCTGTTTGTTTACGATCACAAGGGTCGAATGAACCTGTTCACTTATCTATCTCTCATTCCTGTTCTCACTTTCCCCCTAAAATGACATCCAGTTCAGCTGAGCAACAGACAAGCTGTAAACAGCCATTAAACTGATGCAGCAGTTTTCTGTATGTTGTTATTGGCTGTCTGAGATAACCATAAAAGACACATTGGAGGTGGGGTTCGGCAGTTTGAACCAGGAATAAAATCAATAGCACCCTGTTTGTTTTTATTGACATAAGAATTATGAAATAGAAGCAGTTTAATGAAAGCTGGACTTTCTGCAAGGCACCAACACAATTCACTATTAGAGACGGGGAAATAGAAAAAAGAGAAGCTGTGGCACGTGTAAATGCAGCGTATTGAAAAAATGTGTTTAGTCAGAAAACACGATGGGTCAGTGGGGGAGGTGAAGCAGAGGACGATCAGGAGAATGGGAGAGCCTGAGCTACGTCACTGCAGCTGGACGAGGAAAGCTGGCAGCCCAAAAACGCAGCAGGCCACAAATTTTCACGAGACGCCAAAGACCGCAGTTCCTACAAATCACCCGCTTGGCATTGAAATCCACCACCTTTGTGTAATAAAGTTTAAAATCTCATCATTTTTCTAAACCATTGCTCCTTTGGGTAAAACAGCATAATAAGGCGCAAAGCTGTTTCTATGACAACAGATGCGTGAGTGCAGCACAGCGTGGCCCAATTGTGATGGTGAAGAGATCAATTTAATAGCTATTACTGGGAATAAAAAGGCTCAAAAGCGAGGAGTTACATTAGTAATAAGATGCCAGTAGCAGATATGAATGTTTAGCTCACTTTAACTTAATGTGCTTTTCATTCCAGACTTTTATTCTGAATTTTGAGCTAAGTTTGCAGGTAGATTTGCCAGAAATAAAATGTTCATTCAAACAGTGCACTTACTATAATCTACAGCAGCGGTTTCTTGTTGTATTGCGTTGTGTAGAATAGCTGTCGATGCTTTGCAGTATACTAGTGTCAGCACCGGTTGCTTTTGTACTGTTAGTTTAGTGTTACAACTATAATCTCCATATATAACTGCAAGTTCTCACCTTTATTCAGAAACATCTGAACGTTTTTGTAATGAATTCCTTTATTTTTACAGCAGGTACGGTGTAGAGTACACTTACAGGTAAACAGCAGGTCAGCCTCACCTACTACCATTTAAGATGGGGATTATAGAGCCCATGTGGTGAACTAGGTAGACCTACAGAGCTATGCCTAACAGATGGATCCTTTCCCTCTGTGTCCAGTGGGATAGATGGCATTTTGTCTTGGAATACCAAGGCCTTGTTGAATGTTGGGGTGAGCTGGCTCGGAGCCACAGTTTGCATACACTATGCCCTTGCTTAAGCAGGAAATACTGCTGAATCACACAGTATGTATGTGTGTGTGTGGGGCGCATCTTTGAACCCATTAAAAAAAATCTTCAGATCCAGCGAAATACAAGAAAGCAGGAGCAGACTGACAGATAGAAGCACCATCAGTGCTGTCTGCATGCAGTAAGCTTCATTTACAGCATTATAAGCACGGGCAGACAGATGGATGAGCTGAGCTGGAAGGGCTCAAAGCTCAGGTGGACTCTCATTCTGTGTGTGTGTGTGTGTGTGTGTGTGTGTGTGTGTGTGTGTGTGTGTGTGTGTGTGTGTGTGTGTGTGTGTGTGTGTGTGTGCGTGCAAGGTCACACAGCAGCCTTGCATACTCCAGATTCTGTTCCCTTCCTGTGTTTTGTATCATCAGCACAGCAGTTGTGGCAGAATGAAAAAGCCTTGCATGTTTGCGAGGCTAAAGCCAAAGCCTCTTCACTGACACATACACACAGCGGGCATCATCCTGCACCCTTCCCTGCTCAGGATTAAATAGCCTTTGGGCAACAAAATGGGAGCCTTGCTACAGAAACAACACCTGCACCAAGCAAGCTGTGACAGTGCATGCTGCACAGGAAGTCAGCTTCCAAACTAACCCTGCCTTTGTCACAGATGTCAGTGGATTTACAATGAAAATTTTCCTTTAACCGAAGCCGTTCAACAACAAAGCGGGCACGTTTGAAAACTTATATCAAGCACGGGGATCATAACAAGATCATAATAAGTCATTGTAACTTGAATATGTGGTTCTTGAATGCATCACAAGGTAGTTAACAGATAAACTACTCTGGGGATTTATGAAGGCCTAACAAAATAATCTGCCTCACGGTGTGCTCGAGGCTTTGAAACGACAGAAAGTGCGTTGAATGCGCGTTTAATTTGAAGCTTTCGGGTCTAAGTGGAGGCTTTGTGTATTTAAACCTGGCCGGGGGGGATGGGGACTTAGATGTAAGAGCTCCTTCTTGCGCGGTGCACCAGAGGCGCGCCAGCATCCACTACAGCCTGGAAAAGCCTACTTACTTCCCGACGAAGTTCTCCAGCACCGAGCTCTTCCCGGCGCTCTGTCCTCCCACCACGGCGATCTGCGGCAGGTCCAGGTTTGCGTTTTGCCCAATGGCCGAGAAAGCATCCTGCATGCGGTTCACCAGAGGAATCAAATCCTCCATTCCCCGGTTCCCCATCTTTGCGAGAGGATGATGGGCTAGTTTCCTTGACAGAACAGGGACGGATATATGGCTTTATCTTCCTCTGCGCCCCTCCTCACCCCCCTCAGAGCGTTCAGAGGGCGTTCTAGTCTGCGCGCACTCACCGGCTCACTTCTCGCTCTGCTTCCTCATTTACGGTGCTCTTCGGTGTGTCAGATCATCTCAAGCCAGCACTCTCTCCAACACTCTCCTCTCCAAGCACCGCAGGGGGGGAGGAGGAGGATGAGCTCTTGTATTTTACCAGGAGATCCCTGCAGTACTCCACACCCACCGCTAGGTGGTGACACTGGTAGATTTCTCTCGCATAAATAATTTGCTATTTGAAAACAAACAAAAAAAACAGAGTATTTTTCATATTAAAATAAATATTTTTTAACTCACCTGAGCGAATTTGAATGCCCTTTTATATTTATGTTGTGTTTAAATTTGTGATTTGCTCTCAGTTTCAATTATGAAAATGTACATTTTATTACCTTATTTTTTGATACTTTATTAAATATAACGATAATAATAATAACAACAACTTTATTTGTGCAGCTCTTTTTAACATACAGTTACAAAATGCTTCAGTGGTTGGTTAAAATCACACATTAAGTATATGTTTACACAATTAAACACACAAACACATGACTGCATAAACACATATTAGAAGAACAAGAGCCAAAAACAAAGAGTGAAAGACTAGGCGAACACTGTCCTATAGAAATTAATTTTCAGCGGTGGTTATTTGCAACATAGCTAGATTGAAAAACATAACGAGCTCAAGCTACAACCAACATGACAGTATACAGTAATGTAAACAGTGCCACAGGTGCTAAGTTGTATTCTGCTATTTAATGTTCACCTCTAAAAAGCTTTATTTTTATTAACTATGTCGCATTAGCTAATAGATAAAATAATAACTGTAGAGTATAAAACAAAACAACAACAACAACAACAACAACAACAAATAAATGTAATAAAAACGACATTTCGAAGCCTGGTCATTCTACGTCCATCATGCGTTTTCAGTTCTCCAGGCAGCCACTAGGGGGTGACACGGTCCACCGGTTTGATCAGAGGTTATGGCTTCAGTTTTTGTGCAAGTTGCACCGTTGCTGTAAAGAGCGAGTGTTTAACTCTTCGGTTTGGTTTTACGTTGACAATTAACACCCGGCGAGGTTTACGTCTCTGGGGGCAGCTGTAGGAGGCTAAATACGACAAAGCAGTCCCTACAGGAGAGGTTTGTCTTTGAGTTAGTTGAATGCTATGCTAAGCTAACTTGTTTGGTTCAGTGACTGAGCGGCTATGGCTAATGTAGCGTTAGCTTCGTTCATTTTATGGAAGATGTAGCTACACTTCAGTTATCAACATAGGCTCGATATTGTGGGCATATTTAGCGTACCATTCTGCTTTCTCTGACAGCGTAGCGGCTATCTGTATGAAGCGGAATGGTGGCGGAAATGAAAGTAAACTTAGCAAACCAAAAAGTTCATTATTGTTAGCTCCTATGCTAACGCTAGCTAGTTGTCATAATGAAATATGAGAGCGACCTGTTGTCTGACAGGAGGTGCGCACTGTCATTAAGTGTGCCTTAACAACAAATAGTTGGTCTGATAGCAGAGCAAGTAATCACGTTTTTCTTCCTCCCAACAAGAGATCCTCTGTCCTAAGAGGTGCCACACATTGACGGCTCTGACAACTCGTTGCAACGTAACGGATTAAATCAGAGCCCGTGATGTTCAATCCGCACATCCATCAGCAGCAACAGCAACAGTTTCACCAGCAACTGAGGCAACTACAGCAACTTTTCCAGCAGCAGCAGCCTCCGCCTCCCCCGCCGCAGCCGCCTCCCGGACACCATGTGGCCCATCACCACCAGACACCCCGGTAAGCCTGTTAACTCAAGACCGGGGATAATGTAAGGCCCTCTGGATGACCTGTATGCTAACTGCCCGTCCCAACACCTGTTACGGCTACATTTATCATTTCAGATATTTAATTAGTGGTCTGACAGTATTTGATGTTTATTTTGACTGCTGCCTTCCATTGTTATCTAGATTACTCAAAGGTTATGTGTTATTATCCCTCTTTTACGCGTTATATAAAACGTTTGCTGCAGGATTTCTGACCTCAGACCAATAACACAAAATCACATCACATTTGTTATGGCATCTTCCACAGTCAACCAGCCTATAATCTCATTACAGGTAACAGGTAATCTAATTACTTGTTCACTGTAACGCAGTGCACCGATTTGAAAGCCATATAAAGGCGATAAAGCTGTCTTATATAAATAAGCCTTTAAAATATATATACCGGTATATATCTGCTTAAATTTAACTTGATGTCAGTAATGTGTATAAAGAATTCGCCTCTGTGTGTCAATCTTAGCATCCAGACACTTCCTGCTAAACCTTGCTGCAGATTGTTTGGTATTGTTTGTCTCCTGTTAAGTCAGCTGGTGCTTAGAGAAGGCATTGATAATTTTGGATCTTTTTTCATAAATATATGTTGTTGTTGTTGTTGTTGTTTTGGGGTTTTTTTCCCTTTAAATTGTGAGGTTTTAAATTGCATTTGGTCAATTCAGCAGCAGATGTTTCTCATCGGCAGTGGTTTTCACAAGTGTTTGTGAGCTTAAGCAGTGATTCCACTACATAATCGCGTCTGTTTTGAGTCCAGACTCTGAAGATTGTGGCCGTTAATACTGGTTTTTAGCCTAGTCCGTTGCACATGGAAATTGTCTTTGATTCTCGGGTGCTGGAGAGAGCTGGAGCCTATCCTAGCTCTCATAGGGCGAGAGGAGGGGTACACCTTGGACAAGTCGCCACATGATTCAAAACCAGGACCTTCTTGCTGTGAGGCAACGGTGCTCCATCTTGCTTGGCTGATTCTCAGAATTTTTTAATGATATTGTTTACTGTAGATGAAAGACTGGTTAAGTTCTGGCATGTTATTTTTATATCCAGGCGTGTTGCTACTTAATGTAATTAATTATGAGATGTTCAAGCACTTTGCTTTTACACTACACATCAAACTAAGAGCACGTATTCTTCAAAAAACAACATAGTTTCTCATTTTCAACATTATTTATGTTGTCTTTCTGCAGTTATCCATAAGATGTGGGTTTTAAACAATAAGCAAATTATGTTCATATATATATATATATATATATATATATATATATATATATATATATAATTTTTTTTTTTTTTTTTTTTTTTTTTTGGTCCCAACCTTTTTTAGAAGGAAGCTTTTTATTTCTCTGTTTTTAATCCTCACTTAAACTACAATATTTTCTTCTCTTTCCTCATCTTTATTCTGAGAATAAGCGAAGGTGGCAGCAAAATCTGTCAAGCCAGCTTTAGTATGATGGATGCATGTAAAATAAATTCTCAGGTTGTTAAGAAGGCGGAAAACATTTCCATGGCTCTGATGGATTTGTCATTTACCCCAGACGCTCTGCCTTTAGCTGCAGATTTGAGTGAGGATGTGAATTTTTAAATAATAAGACATGTTACTTTCTTGTGTGTATTTCTTTCCTAGAACCATTCCTGTTGCCCCCCAGACAGCACCCCCTCCCCGGATGGTCAACCTGAGCCATGCCTCGCAGACAACCATCATCGCCCCCAATCCCATGCTGCAGGGTGCTTTACTGATGCAGCAGATGCAGGGTACGGTGTGAGTGAATAGCATAAAAATGGCAATACCTGGAAATCTCAAAGAGCAGAAGATGTCACATGACATTTTCATGTATATTGTTTTTTATTTAAAGCAAGCCCTTATAATAATTTCCTTTCTTGTTGTACTTGTGTGCAGGTAACATGCGGGGCTTTGGGATGGGTGGGCAGCAGTTTCGGCAGTTCTTCACAGCAGGGAACAGGTCGTCCCTGCTCGGGCCGGTTCCCATGGGCATGGCTATCAAGTCTCCCATCATGGGTTTCCCAGCTACACGACCCTTCCACCCACATCCCCGCTACTTCAACAACAACAACAACAACACCACCACCTCCTCAGCATCCTCTGCCTCCTCTTCTTCGTCTTCCGCGGTATTTATAACAGCGCTATTGCAGTTACTTTGTCCATTGTGTGGGTTTTTGAGTGAGCTCAGATTACCATCCGAGTGATCAGGCTTGGACAGTACGGCATGTTTTTGATTATTTGTGTTAGTGTAATTATCTTTGTTGTAAGCAGTGTGAATGTATGACAAATGATAAGAATCAGGATTTCCATTTATTCTCAACAAATAAGTAGGTGCACTATAGAGTCAGTGCACAAATTTACATAATGTTTCAGGAATGTATCCCTCAAAAAAACTGCGTAGATAAAGTTTTTCGGCTACGATGGATCATTATTTTCTAGTTTTCATGTGATTTGTCTCTGTGAGTAGGATGCTGCAAATCGACAGCCAGATCGTAAGCGGGACAGTGAGCAGATGGCAGCAGGGAGCTCAGATGAGCAACCAGCAGCAGCTAGCAGTACCACTGGAGCTAATGGCAAGACTCAAGCAGGTAGAGCTGCAATTCACCCATATCAGAAACATAGTAATTAGTTAGGATGGAAGCTGAGTTATAGTGTTAGCTAAATGCCATGTGAATTTAAACTTTTTGTACAAAGTACTTGAAGAATATCAGAGTTAAATATTTTCTTTTTCCCTTTGGTTTTGTTTTTCACCCACAGATGGTGCTACGGGAGGACTGGATGGGCCAACACAACTATCTGAGGAGCAACTTGAAGAACCTGCAGTGAAGAAAAAGAGGACAGAATGGTGGGGAAAGCCTGTTTATTGCTGCTAGCTGTATTAGAAAACTGCACTCTCTATTTCTGGAAAATGTAATTTCTTGTATTTGACCAAAAAAAGGAAAGAAATGGGTTTTGGTTTTTTCCTCTCACCAGTTTTAAGAAGGCAAAAAACAAATTTATAAATGTGTTCTTTTTCTTACTCAGTTATTTGAAATTCATAGCATTAAAAAAATGGTGAAACTTTGCTAAACAGAAATGTTTTTTTCTTGTCTTTCAGGTTGGAGAAGCCCACAGAACAGGGAGCTGCCGAGGCCGTCACTACGGCAAACATAGATGCGGAAGCTCTTTCCTCGGAGTGTAGCAACAACACAGAGGATGTCCACCCTGAAGGTAAAAAGGAAATTACAAGAAAGCTGCCTAAGAGGGTTCAGGCTGTGTTCAAGAATAAAAGTTTTCAAACCAAATATTGACTTTCAGGCTCATTAGAGTTGTACAAACTCTGTTCTTGCCTTATATACTGCATTTTCATGTCTATATGTACACGTTTCAGTTAAAATACTGCACCCATTTCCTGACCAAAATATAAAGAAATGAGGGGTGATTCAAGACCTTTACACGGTACTCTGTGTTATTGTTGGGGTCTTTCGAGGTGAACTCTTATTGGGTGTCTCTTTATCACAAGAATGCATCGCTCTGGAAGAAAGTGGCTCCCGAACAGGATCAGACATTGTCGACGCACTCGAGGAGACCAAAGTTGGTGAGGTGAGAGGAGCCTTTTGTTTTTGATGTTCAGATCATAGAGAACATATTGTTTTTCATGTACCTAAAGAACTAAAGTCTTGTTGATTTTTATACATTTTTCATAAAAGTTCAACACTCGTGGTTCTTGTTTGTAGCTGCATAGCTGTTCGTCAGCCCCGTCCCCCTCTGGCAGGCCTAGTGAGGGTGACCGGCAGGCTAATTTACCAGCAGAGGAAACTTCACAGAGCAAAGATGCCCCAGTAGCTTTGCCTGAGAGCCAGGATGAAGAGGAGGAGGGTGTGGCAGAGGGCTCCAGCAAGTTCTACTGTTATCTTTGCAGCACCACCTGCCACAACCAGCAAGTAGGTTAATGGTGAGCATTAATAATAATATTTTAACTCCACTCTTTTGTCATTAATGTTCTTCCCTTTGTGTGCTAGAACTTCAGGAGTCATATGAACAGCATTTCCCACCAGCAGAGGATGATGGAGATCCAACACATGAGCAATGCCTGCCTCGTCACCCTGCTGCCTCGGGTGCAGGAGTCTCTACAGGGAGCAAACAAAGATGGGTCAGTTATTTGCAGATTTCTTTATGAAAAGCATAGCAGCTTTAAAAGGTGTGGCATATTTGCACGTTTTAATTAAACCCCTTCAGAGACCACCTCCTTCCTCCTGTGTGTCATATTAAGTTTGAACGTAGAGGGCGACCCTTACAAAGGATGTCCTGTGTTCATTGCAGGGAGAAGAAAGACTTGAAGCGTTGGTGTGCCACCTGTCTCACACACTTCACGAGTAGCATCGCCGACCACCGTCGCACAGAGGAACACAAGGTACATCAGTTTCTCACTACATAGCGCAAAAGTAAAGTTCAAGAAATATTAGAAAATATTTTGAGTAGTGTTGAAAATGCTCTGCTCCATGTCCTCAGCTTGCCAGTAAAACAGACATGTCCTCCTGTGCCATCTGCAAGAAACACTTCAAGAACTCCCAGATGTTTTTGGAGCACTTGCAGTCCCAGGAGCACAGACAGAAGGTGGGAAAGAAATCCTTTTGTTCTTTCTTTTACACATCAACAAATGTTTTCCCAGAGGAAAAGATGTTTCTTTATTTAGAAAATTTTGGCACACATGAGAGAGGTTTTGACCTCCCCAAAGGAAAATCACCAGTGTTCCAGTAAAGAAAAGCTTCTTTTGCCAAATACAATACAATACATTTATATTCACAACTATTTATATTCATAACTATATAGAGACTAATCGAGTTTGTATACATAGATGAGGTAAAATTCTCACTTCAGTTTTCTCGTTTCTAGCTCCAGGAAACGGATTGTGAGGCCTTCGCCAAACTTGCTTCATTGGGCACAGAAGGTTTTTCATTAGAAACAGAGGAGGGGACTGAGGAGGAGAAAGGATTGAGTAATCAAGGAGATGGAGAGGTGAGCTGCATATAAATTATTGTTGGTGATTTCCTTCAGTGAGATGATTGGCAAATGTACAACCCTTGGTTCAGAACTGGTTTAAGAGAATCTCTGCAGTAACACATTTCACTGATGCAGGACGGCTGGTCCTCCCTTAAAGAAGCGACTGACGTGTCCAGTGATGAGCAGTATGACCCTGACACAGTCTATGGTGAGAGAGGCACTCCTGTGTTTTTTTTTTTTTCCACTCCTGCTTTCTCTTCTCCGATATTTAGTATCTTTGTGATGTTTAGTTTCTCATTTCCTTCGTCACAGGGTCCAGTTTTTTAGTTCCAGTCGCAGGTTTTATCTGCAAGCTTTGCAACAAGTTTTACAACTTTGAGTCTTCTGCCCTGCACGGCCACTGCAAATCATTGCAGCACTTTGAGAATCTTAAGGTTTGTCGGTTTAAGTTTTAAGCTTAAAGATAACAACATTACTATTTGCATTCAGTTGTTTTGAATTTTTTTTTATTGCATAACTGCAGCCTTAATCTAGGCATATGTGAGCTCTTAAAAGGCCAGTGTGTACATTAATCTCCCGGGGAAACAAGCTGCATGAGTGTATATCTAGAGGCATAATCCAGTATTTTTATGCTGGGTTTTTTCCCCCCACAGAGGTACAAAGCCTTGGTGAGTCGAAAAGGTGAAGATGCTGAAGATTCGAGAGAATCTGTCCAACCTGCTGACGGGCTCATGCACATAAATGAAACTGCCTCAGACTGTTCGGATAAAAATCTACTCTCTGATGACAGAGATTTAGCGACGAACCTTAAATCCTTGCAGCCCGTTGTCACGCTCACCCAACTTAAAATGCAGATACAGGGCGAGGAAAAGGGAAAGCTGGCCGAACCTGAGGCAACCTCAGAGGACTTGTCTACCACCTCAGCAACCATCACTAGCAACATGGACACATCCCCTGCTGAGGTGCCCGCCAGCAGTAGTGTGGACATGGACTCTGAGCCATCAGCCTCTGCAGAGGATGCCACTGAAGAGTTGGAGGAGAGAGAAGCCCCTGCAACCCAGGGGAAAAAGATTGGGACGGGGAAAGCACCCAGACGCAGGTCGGGAAGGGCGGCAAACAGGCGATGAGGAAATGATGTGCACAGAAAAGAAACAGGTACAATCACAACCACTGACAGGATGTGACTAAAGAGGTGCTTCCATGGAACAGAGACCAAGGAGTTGGCGGTCGAGCTCCTCACCGCACTGGAAAGTTGGAATTAAATGCACAGAGAACAGGACTTCTCATGTGAATCGCTCTCCCAGGGTGAGAAATTAACACAATTGCGGGCGAAGCTCTTAATTTTGGCTTTCAGTTGGAAAATGTGGGCCAGCGTCAGCCATCACTATCAGATTACACATTATAAAGTCATCTAGTCAAAAATAAAAAGATGAAGTAGATATTGAACTTAAAGCATTTGTGTTTAGTATCAGTATAATCAGAACAACTAAATAGACCTTTTTTTTTTTCCCTTTTTTTTCCCCTTTTTTTTAACAACGAGAACATCCTTGTATTTGATGCCCTCTTTGAACTGATTCCCGTACTTTGGTCTCTGGAAAACTGCAACTAAGCAGATTGTGCTTATTTGTGTAGTCGCACTACGACAGAAATTCATAGAGGCTGTTGCTTCAACAGGTGACAGGAAAATAAATATATATAAAATGTATATATCTTTGGATATAATGGCCCATGGTCCCATTGAGGTTTAATTGGCTTTATTCTATCATTCCAAATCTGTGCTTTGGTTCAGACATTGTATTTTTTAAAACCTAATATTTGCTGTGCTGAATTAAAACTGCACATAGTGTTGTTTGCATACTAACTAAAAAAAACAAAGGGTATTGTGACTTTTACTGTATACATGAAGGATGTAGTTTGGAATTAGGAAATGCTGCTTGGTTGCAAAAAAAAAAGAAAAAAAAGAAAGCTAAATGCAAGTTTTAATATACAATCAAATTTGCAGATATAGACGAATCCATAGTTTTGTTTTGGTTTTTACTCTTTTCTTCCTAAGCTGAATTCCTCCAGTGACATTTAAAATTAAGACTGTTCGCCAAAGTGCTAATTTTCCACCCTGTTGTCCTCAAGAATCAGGAGTCTTAGATGGCTCATTACCAGCTTTTCTCTTTCTGTCTTTATTTTATTTTTGCGCTAATTCTCTGGCTAGCTAGGTGACTGATGGTTAGTACAACCTACCAGTATAAAAGACTGGACTGATGGTAAAGTGGAGACACTGGCTAATCACACATAGCACATGGTGAAATGTAGAATGTAAGCACAATGCATACTTGAGCAGGTGTCAACATTTGTTTTAAAACAAACAGGTCTTAGTGGCACATGGACTGAGCGAACAAAAAAAGCTGAATCGTGGATCTGATCGCAGCCTGGTTCACAGCATTTTATCTTCTTTTTTTATGAATGGCTGGGATTTGGGGTTTAATTTGATGTTGCTGATTATGTTTTGGGCAACAAAAATAACAAGGCAGTCAGCAGTGGTTCCCTTGACACTGAAAGCACTGTCGTCAAAATATAGTCTGGTGAAGAGTATGTGTATTTTTAAAAGGCCGCCAGCAGCCAAAAATAAAGGGCTTCTCTTCTAGCAGTAAGGCACTTAATCTAAATGACGATTCTTCTCGTTTGCATAAGGCTGCATGCACTTTGTCTACATCTTGTTTTTCAGTTTAAACGCTATGCTGTCGCTTCCAGGTCAGAATCGATGGCGCAGGCTACATTTAGATAAAAACAATTGTTTTCCACTCATCCTTTTTAAAAGCATTCACAGCCCAATGTCATTGTTTTAAGTTGCTGCTTATTTGACTCCAGTTTACCATCGTTTTATTTTAGTTGCTGTACCAAGAGTAGAAACACAGTTGGGCGATAGTACAAAACTATCAATTAAAATGTAGCAAAGAGTCCTGTAGATTATCCAGAGGTGTTACTCACAGGTGAGGGTGAAACAGGAAGCACCACTTCCTTCATCATAACCAGCGCTCTGCTCTGGAAACATTTCACCCTGTGTTTTAGAGAAACCTATTATCAACCACAGAGGACTGACTGACACACGTAGCAACCCTTGTAGTCACGTCAGCGACTGTCACATGATTAGTGTTGTATTCTCTCTGAATGAAGGAGACGTGATCTAATCTGTGCTTTTAAACTCCGAAACAGAACGGAGAGGCAAAAAAGGGCATGTAAAGGATGACTTCAAACAAAGCTGTACGTTTCTTATTGTATTTTTATTCAGCTACTGACAAATTGAGATGAACAAATTGGTGATGTTTTCTAACTGCTGGAAGTTTATTGTATTTTTGGATGTTTGTTTTCTGTTTGGGAGTCATCTTAATTTATATTAAAAATGTCTCATAATTCCAACGTTTCGTTTTTTTGATTTTACAGCAAACACTTAACAGACACTGAACACAGCACAGCGTTTACAGTTAGGATGCACAACAAGCATTATAATACATATGAGTGTCCAATGCTTCCTATTTACTTTTTGGGAAGGTATAGGAATTGCAAAGCTAATAATGCGATGAAACAATTGAGGAAGTGGAGTCTTTCTGTTTAACAAGGACTGACTCAAATGCTTGAGAAGTTGTTGATATGACATCTGTATCAAAACAATATTTAGGTACAGAATCTGGAAAGATTTAAGGTTGATCCTGTAGTTTGAACCTTGTTTATCAAAGACCATTTTTAATACCAACTTTAAAAATATATATATTTAGTCGTTTTCTTGCTTTAGGACTTAGCATTGTGACCTCCCACATAATCCTGAGCCTTTTCTTCCCAATACAAAGCGGCACATCTGGCTTTAGATTTATAAAGTCTGCAGTGAAATTAAAGAAGTTGATGTAACATCCAGCTTGCATGAGAAGTTGTTTGAGGTTAGTTACATCGGCACATTGCCAAAGGAGAAACCGGAATGAGCTCTGCAAAAGAGGAGATGTAATCTATCGCACACGCCTGCTGATGTGAGCATCGACTATGAAGATAAAGGGTCACTAGTCCAAATGACAGCTTTCAGGAGTTTAGTCAACTTTCATAATATTTCTATCCCAGCTTTTTCCTTAATTTAACCTCCTGATCTAAATATTCATGTCATTCATTTGCAAGCCTTCTTTATCCTCGTTTATGTCCTCCTTGCTGGTTGAGGAGGACTCCCCATCTGCTGTGGGACAGTGCTCCTCCACATCCTCCTCCTTTGGGGGGGCCAACAACTGGGCTCTGAATTCCAGTCGAGCTTGCCGATTTGACTCCATCAGTTCGTGCAGTTTGCCATTAAGAGCGTCGTTCCGCTCCTCCAGGTCATCGAGGTAAGAGTTGATCTGATCTAGCATGTTGTTGATGGCAGAATACTCTGTGGACGAGCAGCATAGGTTAGTTTGCTTTGTTTGGCAATTTAAAGAGCAACGACTGAATAAAGAGTTTAACGGTTTTTGATCATATAAATTAAATTTATATTGTTTTCAATGAAAGACAGGATAATGCTATGAAAGTTGACCGTTTTTGGCTTCAGTTACCTTTTGTTTGTTTCTTTTAAATAAAAAATAACATACCAGCAATTTAACAGTCCAGTATTCATCACCAAGGTTATTACAGAAAACTGAAAATGAGGCAAATATGAAAACCACTTTAGTTATATTTATTTGACAACACAACCGCCATGAAGAGGCACTGGTGGGGGTGTTTAGTCAGGCAGGGATGTTTACATGAAGGTGAATGTTGAGTGTAGTTACTGTGACACCTTTTCTGAAAATTTTCTGACTCTGTGAAGCACTAAGCACAACCCATGATTCAACAGTTTTTAGAAACCTCTTAAGCAGAAGTCACTGTTTTCTGTATGACCTTCTCAGTGTCCTACATTGTTTTGGAGGAACTTTGGCCCATGAATCTTTACAGTTGCTTCATTTTATTGAACATGGCTGCTAATTACCCAATTGATTCATACAAAAGTTTTAAGGATGGACTTTTACATAAATCCAAATCACGCCCACAAATACCCGCATACGTAATTAAAATTAACCAAAAAGTAACTAGTGTACACTAGTTACTCTGGGCCACTCCAGTGATTGTTAGAACAAACGTTTGTTCTAACAATCACTGGAGTGGCCCAGCGGCTCTAATGATTGCTAACATCACTTACAATGAAAGCTTTTGTTGTTTTACCTTCTTCGCCGAAATCATCTTCGTCGTTTATAATACCATCGTCCGGAGAGATGTTTGGATCTCCATTTGGTCCAGACATTGTTATATATATATATTTATATTCACGTGTACTTAAACAGTAGGAACCTTAAATATCGTCAGTTATGCTATTAAGCTAGCCAGCTAGCTCAGTAGCATTACTAAACGTAATGTAATTGCAAGTAACACCAACAGCGCTGTCTGGGTTCTACTTTAGCTCTATCGTCAGATTTTAATTCACAGTATGCACGACACCTCAAACAGCTAGCTTCCGATATTTGTTTACGGAACCAGGGAATTGTGGGAGAAATGTGGGCGTGGTTTTGGTTCCAAAGCGAGATGACTCACTCTGTGCACAGTCTCTAATGACTAGTCGAGTAAAACAAATGTGCTAAACTAGCCATGCTAGGAAGATTTATAAAATAGTTTTATTTACTTTTACAGGTGTCTACTTTACTGGTTTATGAACTTTAATTCAAAGCTCACGCATGCGCTCATATGCCGGCTACTCTGTAGTTTTATGAAATCCAAGCAGAGTGGGCTGTCTGTCTTCCGTAATGCTCTCAGACCTGTCAGATGGTGGCAGTCAGCTGACTGGGCTCTGTTGTCACCTTACTTAAGCCGATTAAGGTTTAGTTTCTTAAAGGTAGCAAAAAAAGGGGAGGGGAGTATATCAAGGACCGTGGACATTATTTCTTGCAGACAATTGTCTGCTTTTGTTTAATCACACCGGTGGTTCGATAAAAGGATCGCCTGATGCCAAATGAGAGAGGTGAATGGCTGACTTCGTGTAAGATGGGTTTTACTTGATTTGATCGCTGGATGGCGCCAAGATCACACGACAGAGTCTGCGCAGTCAGCCCACGTGTTGGGAGCTTCCTTGTTGAAGCGTTGTCTTCGTCAACAAGCTGAACGAGCTGGTTTGAAGTGTTTCTAAACTATGGATGAGTTACCTGCGGACCTAAGAGAGTTCCTCCTGAATCACCCCTTTCTTCAGCTCACAGGCGGTAAAAAGGTTAGCGAGCAGATTTCTCCACGTCACACGTGCACTTCGTGTGAGCTGATGCTAACCTGCAAATTGATCTAGCACGAGCCAGGTGTTCAGATGTTGTGATTGCTAAAGAGTGCTCAACAGCGGTGTGCAATACTGCCATTTATTGTGTCGATCAGATAACAAGTTAATACAGAGCCAGTGTCGCTGATACTTGGAACTTATAAAGGCAGCTTATCCCAGCGTGTCGTGATTTATGATAAGAATTATCATCAATTTAACACAATGAGCTACATACTGATCTTAGAGGACAGAAAGAAAGTATCGATCATTTTGGACTCGTGTCAGTACCAGTGTTGGTATCAATGCTAGCGATATTTGGATTGATCCACCGACCTCTGCTGACCAAAACATTAAAGCCAATAAAAACAGCCTATTCATACCTTCGATTTTGTACTTTTTCAGATCAAATGTACTTTAAATGGCCACGAGATTCCCTGCAAATTGGCCGAGCTGCAGAAGTTCACTGAGGGGAAGAAATATGAGAAACTGAGTGCTGCAGCAGAGTTCAACTACAGCCAGTATGAGCCGCACATCGTGCCAAGCACAAAGCAACCGTAAGGACATGTTTGCTTGCCCAACAAGTGATTTTAGTAACTACAGCTGAGTAATTTTGTGATGCCATATAGATCAAAGTGGATCCTCTGATGTAATGTATGTATTTTGTTTGTGCTCTAGCAATCAGCTCTTCTGTAAGCTGACCCTTCGGCATCTCAACCGGCAGCCGCACCACGTCTTAAGGCACGTCAACGGAAAACGCTTCAAGAAAGCCCTCTCTAAATGTCAGTGCATCACTTATCTCTCCATGTGCACCTCTCCTGTAGTGTAAAGATTCAGGATGTTACTCATCTCAGCAGTCAGACTTCTTGTGTGATAGCCATCTCTCAGGAAGGAAAGCAAAGCTATCTGATGAGCTTATTCATTTGTTAGCACTTTTTTGCATATACCAATCGTGCTTAATTTGCTCAGACCAATGTAGTCTGACAAATTTGGCAATTTCTTTAATTTATTTTTTGGTGAGCTTACAGTAGTAAGATTCGGCTAATTCTATTCTTCTGCAAAGAATCAAAGTTTAAATTGCATAACGGGAAGGAAACAATACCACAATCTGTCATTTGTTACATAAATAAATAATCAGAAGGTGAGAAAATGTCAGTAAATACAGACTTGATATATGAGTATGCATAAAACACTGAGGGTATGGGTTGTTGTATAGTTACACTGTGAATGTGATGGCTAACACAACTGCCTTATGCCTTCTCTAGATGAAGAATGTGTGAAGCAGGGGATTGAATTCATTCCAACCAGACTGACGCAGAAAAGGCCCAGAAACACTGAAGAGGAGGGCAGTCGAGGAAACCCTTCCAAGCATTCAAGCAGCACGTGGGAACCCTCATCCAGTGATGACGGTCATAGTGACTCTGAGGACAGCATGAGCGACCTCTACCCCCGTCAGTATCTCCCATCTACACACATTAGATTCATTTGACCACTGATTTCAGGAGAAGCACACTGTCCATCGGAAGAACCAATATTAGTCAGGATAATTGTCGCGTTTTACATGACTGGTTCTCCATTGAATCCACATATAATGGCACAGATTAGTGAAACTCTTGTAGCGGGCCTGTTTTACTGCTCTGTAACACCATGTATTTGTCCACAGCCTCCATATTCACTTTGAAAAACCAAGCAGAAGAAAGTATGGAGGACGGAAGGAAAGAGGAGGAAGATGACTTTCAGACAGATGAGGATGAAGAAATGGAGGTTGAAAAACAGGCGGTGCAGAAACGCAAAAAGGTCTGTGGAATAATATACATTCGCCTGACACTTTATTAGGTACACTTACCGAGCTTATTCCCCTTTTGCCTTTGGAACGGCCTTAATTGTTCATGGTATAGATTCTCAATGTGCCGGAAACCTTCCTCAGTGATTTTGGTCCATCTTGACATGATAGCATCACATAGTTGCTGCACATTTGTGATGTGAATGTTCTGGTCAACCAAGTTCCAAGGATGCTCTGTTGGGTTGAGATCTGGTGACTTTGGAGGCGGTTTGAGTACAGTGAACTCATTGTCATGTTCAGAAAACCAGTTTAAAATGATTTCAGCTTTGTGACGTGGTTTGTTATCCTGCTGAAATCAGCCATCAGAAGATGGGTACACTGTGGTCATAAAGGGGTGGACATGGTTAGCGTGGTACTTAATTTGTCCTATGGGGCCCATAGTGTGCATAGAAAATTTCCTACACCACCACCAGCCTGAACTGTTGAGGCAGGATGGGTCTACTTTCATGCTGTTTATGCTATTTGTCTTTTTCTCTTTCAGGCTCAGGGTGGTGGATTTCACAAGAAACAAAGAAATAACAGCTGGAGATCAAGCAAAATGAAAAAGAAACACAGAAAAGCCCAAAATGGAAAGTAAAATCCAAACCCCCATATGAAGAGTATTTTTATATACCCTGCCACGACATCTAGTTTGGAGTGTTATTCCTGTGTCAGAATCAGCCTGTGACCCTTCAACATCTATTACGCGAGGATGTTTTTGGTTCCTGAGTTCCACTGGTCCAACAAAGGCTGATTTACATGATGCATAGAAAATGTGTTTAAAAGTTCCTTTGGACTGGATAAGGTGTGTTTTCTGGTTTGCATTCAACTGCACTAGTGTAAAATATAACTCGGTTTGAATTTGCAAGAACTGTCTGTCTTTTTTAAAAAAACATTTACTCCAATTTTTAACCTAAAAAATGCTTCAAATTATTCTGTTAGGTTTCCAACTTGATATCATACGACAAACTTCAGCAACTACACACAACACATCTGCATCTTTTCCACGAGAACGGAGATTTATCTGACCATCGAGATCTGATTTTACTGGTTGTTGTGCACTGAGGATGCAAACTTTTCTTCAACACAGATTTGCAGCTAAAGATGGAAAATGAAACATTTCCGCTCACAGTTTTTTATATGACTTTTAAGGAAGCGAGAACAGATCTTGTTCTAGTGCTGCAATAAGCTTCACCAATGATGGACTGTTGTTGCTCTATATGGAGCACCACAATAAGCTTTAATCAATCTCATTTAATGTACAGTTTAGTTTTAGAGTTTTTACAAAATTTAACAGCAAAGAATCAGGGGTCTTATTGTTAATTTCCCTCTGTACTGTGGTACTGAAGGTTGGGAATCTGGTTATCGATGAGCCACACAGGTGTATTATCACCAAGATGTTGAAAATTCATAATCGTAAGTCTCTTGCATATGATCTCATTCACCAGGACAGCTGCCTGTCAGCCATTGTCCGTACAGTAAAATTCAGAGAACTTGATTGAAACTGATTGTTTCTTTAAATGGTGCCTTTGTTCAGTGGCTGATACTATTGTGATTTGTCGAAGGCATGGCTGATCTGCTGTAATCTTAGTGTAAATAAAGTAATTTGAACCTTACATGTACATCTAAAGTCATGGTCCGAAGTTTACATATATTCATCGAGGACTTGAGTTGGGTAAACAAGTTCGAATTTGTTTTGGATTTTCTCTAATCCACATAGGGCTGTATACCACACAGGGGTATACATACAGGCTCAATTAGATACATAAAGTCAGTTGATAGTATTGAAATAAGTGGTACTAAAGGTTCATCTGTTTAGTGATCATGATGGACTAAAACTGGTAGTATCTGAATAAGGAGGATTTCTTTGACATTCACTGGATTTAACCAATACTCAGAACAATGGGACTGTCTAAGGTCTAAGAAGGATAGCTGTAGATTTACACAAGTTGGGACGGTCTCCTGAAGCCATTTTAAACAACTGCAGATTTGAGGATCATCAGTTCAGACAACTGTATGTTAATATAACTTATTCAAATGTGTCACTACTTTAACAAAAAAACCTGCAAAGATTTGTTTTAGAGGGGTAAAGGTGAAGCTTCCAAAACTAAGAAGACTGTACCAGCTGTCAAGCATGTTGATAGTAGCACTGTGCTCTGGGGCTGTTTTGCGGCCAGTGGTACTGGTACATTGCACAAAGTGGATGGAATAATGAAGGACTGCCTCCAAATAACTTCACTTCAAAACCAAACAGTTGAAATTTGGACAACGATCCCTAACACACATCAAAGCTGGTCTTTGAATGGATGAAGCAGGTTAACGTTAAAGTTCTGGATTTGCCTTGCTAAAGACTCAAACTCAAAAACATTTGTTCATTTGCCTGGAAACCAACCAATTTAAATGAAGTCTTAATAATTGTGTCTAATTGTGTCAGCAAAAGTGGTTAGAACCTGTTAATGGTTACCAGATAAGATAAAACTTGCTAAGGAACATTTAACCAAATATTATTTGGGGAGTACGTATTCTGCCTGTATATTTAGTAGAAAAAAATCCCAAATAAATTCAAACTTGTGCAGCCATTTCTTGTTTTTTTGTTTTGTTTTGTTTTGTTTAAAGAAAAATATTGAAGATGTATGCTGTACAAACATTAATTCCACTCTGGGTAAAGAATAGTTCAAAGAGATCAAAAACAAAACTTCCCATGACATTCATGCTCATCATGAGTGTATGTAAACCTCTGACCACAACTTTAGCATACGTGACTGTTAATATCTCACAGGAGATGACGGCTCACTGTATGATCTCACTATTAAAATAATTAAATAGCCTTTAAAGCCACTAGATTATGCCTAAACTAAAATGGTCTTTTACAGACCTGTCAAATTTATATCCAGAACTGCATCAGTTTGTTCGGGTGCCACCGAAAATACGGCAGAACATCTGAAAACAAGATAAAACAAAAAATCCCAATATATATTACTATTTTTCTTTTAATTATCCACTAAACAAATTGGTTTAAATATAATTTCTCTGACGGTTACTTAAACTTTGCTTAGTGTTGAAATTAAGTGTAATAAAATTGTTTAACTCAGCTTACATTGTATAGATTAGTAGTATTTTAAATATGTTATCTTTTTACAGACCCTATTAGACAGTTTACATACAAACTATAACCATATCTCTAAAAGATTAATTATCAGAAAGAAATTTTAAAAGCACAGAGGTATGACTGTCTAAGGGAAACGGTCTAACTAACAGGTTATAGTGATATTAACATCAGGTGGGTTTGGGGCTGTAAAGCAGCGCTTGTTTACTTGTGTACAGCCGTAAACAATGCCCAGCGGCGAGCCGGAGGACCCCGTACGGATCGGTATACGTGGCACACCGCGGTTGCAGTGCCATGTAGGGGGGCTCGCTCCGTCTCGCTCGTCAAATCGCGGGGCATTGTGGGGCGGAGGCGGCCTTTCTCTGAGTCCAGGCAGTCGGGAAATCTTCAAGTAAATAACGTTAACAGTGGCAGGAACAGAGCGAACACAGCTTGCGGAAAAAAAAACCAACGCACCGAAGCCGTGTTGCGCCGAGCCTTAAACATTACAGCTGGTAAAATTACACGAATATGGGGCAGGAGGATCTTATGAACACCGCTGAAGACGTGGCAGACCAGGTAACTTGATTTTTTCCCCGCACAGCAGCTCACACTGCTAACCGCTGCTAGCAGGTTAGCTGCTAACTAGTTTGTTCAGAATGAAGTTAACCGTTTCCTCTTGTCGTCTGTCGGCTACTCTTTCTGCGTTTCTGCCGACGGCTTCAACTCTTGTTTTAATTTGGGTGACAAATGCTGGAGATGCCTGTCATGTGTGTCGGGATGGGTTTGATAGCAATATTGAGTCACACCGACCAGATGAAACTGGTAGCTAAATTGACTAAGAAAGAGCTGGGTGACAGGAGCACATTTGGTTGTTCCTTCATTGTGTCAGTTATTCGGCTTGCTTCTAGCCACACGGGTTATTAACATTATTATGTTGCCAGACTGCTGTTGTGAAATCACTTATGATGGCTCCAAAGTTGTGGGCTAACCCTAACACGTTACTCAGTTAGCACTCTTAGTGCTTAGCACCGCTGATATTTTCTCTATTACACCGGCCGCATCTGTGCTTCTATACCTTGCTTTGGCTTTTCTGTTATTTATATTCATGTGATTACAACCAACTTGGCATGAGCTGACGCCAAGATAAGCGTTCAGGTAGCCTCCTGACCCTTGTTTTGCAACCACTGGGGACCATCCTCTCCACGTATGTGGTTTTATATCTTCCTTGTTCCTTCAAAACGTTGAGCTTTCTGTGCCGTAGGTTACTGGTCTCACGTTTTTGCAAAGCAGAGCACAGATAAAGAAGCTCAAAGTAATCAAATATCATGGAGCCAGTTCTGCATACGTTTACGACCCTTCGTGTTGACTGAACTCAGTCCAAATCCCAGAAAATGTTCCCTAATTTCATAACGCCTGATTGATTTATATTTGGCCATCACGAGTGCTGTGAAAGATTACATGGGAAAAGTACACACCATCTGATTTGTTTGCCTTGTAGGAGTCTCACTGAAGCTCAATGCAAGGGGCACATCCCTCACTAATGAGTACTGAGCTAGCATTTTACCCAGACTTAACACTTCGAAAGAGTGTATTTCTGTGCTGTTGCAGCAACCTTTGGGCTTGTTAGGATTGGCTCCAAGTTGGCCCATTCATGTCTCGCACAGCAGTCAGAGTGAGAGTTGGTGGATGCTGATAGGCTGCTGAGATCTGACTGTGCTGATGTGGACTGCTGGATAGGCGGGCCAGAGGGCAGGCCATTTCTGCTCTCCTGTGTGACTAGTGTCTGGGAAGTACATGAATTCTTCTTGAGAGAAGAGCCTCAGTTACTTAATTTGTGTTTTGTTTAAATGTTCATCACATTTTGTCTTTGAAGAAATACTTTTTAGTTGAACAAAGCTGTGCTGTGTTGAAATATCTATCAGTAATTCTGCTATTTGCATGTATGAGACTCTCACACCTTTGAAGTTAGTTTGATTAGCTTTGTTTTATTAGATGCTCAACCAGATTGATTAATGAGGCAAGAACATCATATAGAGCAGGGGTATCCCCACAGCTATAACATGTGCTCTTACCAGTAGCAGTTTATATAAAGAGATCAAATTAATATTGAACAAACTTGAGTTCAGCTTATTTGTGTGACGCTTCGAACCAGTCCCAGTTTCTCACATAGCCCCTTGAGATAATTGATTGCCCAACCCTGATATAGAGTGTAACATCTTCATCTTTTATTTAATGTTTTTTGGAGTGCTGATTATAGAAAAATATTGCTAGTGATTTTTGGCATACTATCACACTAATCTTTAAAAAAAAAAATTACAACCAGCCTTCCACAGTCTGGAGGGGACTAAATTTTGTGTGGCACAATAAATGTTTTGTCTTGATTATCTTATTATAATAACCATTCCCAGATGAAATTCAATTAGTTGCGCAGCTCTAATTAGACAGTGGCATCTCCCGCACAGTGGTGTGTTTGACTGTTAGCAGGTAAGTATATATTTATTTAAAGAGCCTTTAGGGAACTTTTTAGTGGATTTTAAGGCTTGGTGACATTGAATTATATTTATACAATATAGCATAATCAAAATTACCTCTTTCCATCCCTCTTCAGACCTTGTCAGTCATTTTTCCTCTCTTTCCCAGTTCCTGCGGGTAACCAAACAGTACCTGCCCCACCTGGCTCGTCTGTGTCTCATCAGCACCTTCCTCGAAGATGGCATCCGCATGTGGTTCCAGTGGAATGAGCAGCGAGACTACATTGAGGCAACCTGGAACTGTGGCTA